GCGGCGTTTTAGCCAACACTGTGATTGTTTTCGAAATGTTCTGAAGTTTGTAAATCCCATCAGCCGTGTTAACATGTGTTAAGAGACACGCTGGCACTTAAAACGTAGTTAAGAAAGACTAAAAGATTAAAAACTACTTTGCTTTACATTCACAGCTTCACAGAAGAAACATAACGATGCTGACGTCATTTAATTTTTTCTTTGTATTTTCGACAAACAGACTCTATAATTAGCTTGAAGTGAACATCGAATTCTGCACGTTTAAATGGCACTTTGGTGGCATCACGTTTTATTTAACTTCCAAGACGAGACTGAATTTCCAACGATCAAACTCTCCAGGTGTATAGTTTGATAAATGAGCTCTCGTCTGATATGGTTTTAATGTCGAAATTTTGGGTAACAGGTGTCGTTTAAACCGGTAAAACTTAGCCTTCATTTTGTCTCCTAAAAAGGCGTGCAAAATACACCTTTATAAAAACGGCGATAAAACCCATACCAAAGAGAATTACAAGAAACTTTTTTATATGCTTTTACTGTGCAGTGATATTATAGCTACTGTGCAAAGTTTGATGGTGAGTGGACTTGTTTGGCGCTGCCAACATTTTTCTAAAGTTGCGTGACGATTTGACCGTTTAGGCAAGGCGAAAACGGCTTTTTTAAGCGAATTTTCAAACTTTTTTGAATTTCAGCCGGAAAGAAAATCGCTGGAACCTTAAGATATTTTTTTCGAAACTAGTTCACAGAAAGGGATGTTTCGTCACTGATTTTCAATTCTCGAAATATACTTGTGGCCTCTCTTAGTTATCTTCTGTATCATATGTACTTATATAAAAGATGAAAAAGATGAAAATTTACTTTAGTATTTCATCTTTATAATGTTCAAAGTAATTATTCAAAATAGCCTCAGCCATGTGGTCAACTTCATGTTTTGTCCCCATTAGAAACAAGGGGTACTAAAAATCAAACTGGTTTTAAAAAAAATTGAGCCACAACAAATATTCCAATGAAAAAATTATACTCTTCACAATCTTGATTCTCCTTTGCTTGCTTATGGTCTTTTAACATAACTATAAGTGACGAGATATAGCAGTTATTTTCATTAAGAACAAACTGGGTTTGAATAGCAAAAACTTAGCTTTTCCAGCGAATATTGCAATTTGCAGTTTTTTTCCTGCACTTTATGAATTTCAAAGATCAGTTCTCTACTCACCATTGAGTTCACTCTGGGTTTCGTCAGAAACAAGGAGTGGAACTTCCATTTCCCATTGATGTTGCGTAAGGATAGGTAAATTCTTCGTTTTCCCGTGGGCATTCCTGGCCAGCCGGTAAAGTTTTAACTCGAAATTTCCCATCCCCAATGAGGTGGCCATTTGCGAAATACCAAGAAAGTTGATCAAATGCTTCTTTGCGTCCGTTATATTTCTTTGCTCTTTACTGATTGGAATTCTGCTTCGATGCCTTTCAAAAGCATTTTCCTCGCCACATCTATAAAAGCTAACTAACACTTCCACAACTCCCGCCGATGCGGGCGTGGCGGCCACTTTGCATGCAGAGGTCTGCTAAAAACCGCTGACCACAAAATGTCTGAAGAACTTAATATGTGTATGAGCACAAAGTATGCATGCTGACCAGTTCGGTCAGTTCCGCGCAGGCTCTTCTTCTTTTGTTTTTAGTTTTGCACCTTATATCATAAGAGCTACGTTTGAAGAATCTTAGTCCTTTTTTTTCTAAAATTATTGCCTTCTCTATAAAACTTTTATCGATCCTTAATGAGTGAAATCACTGTTTTAATACCTTTTAACACTTAACAGTTAACTTTTTTAAGACGCTAAACATTAGAATTTTACAAATTTTAACACTAAACATTAAAAAGGCCAAATAACACTTAACACTAAACCCCATCCAGACCCTCTATATTTAGATTTATACGTGTGTACACCACCTGAATACAAATTATTCAAATAAGTCAAAACAAAAGAAAACCGTCTTCGAGGTACATCTTTAATCTTTGAGAGGTTTAAAAAGCTTTTTTAAATATTTAAAAATGGATATCTATTGGCTAACTAGAAAAATTTATAGACAACTTCTAAACGAGGTCTTGACACCGACGAAATGTTGCTCAGGGATGCCTAATGGACAGATATTTAGCATGTCCTGATTATGTTCGTAAAATGCTGGAAAGTTGCTAAATGAAATTCCCAAAAGGTTGCCAAAAAATTTCCAAAAGTTACTTCCCAACTTATAAAAAAATATTTATAGGTGCTACCTAAACTTCTAGATATTTTCAAATATAAGTTGATCAAAAGTTTTAAATTTTGGTTTTTCGCAAAAATTGCTAACATTACTCAATAAAAATAGCTTGAAAGTTAGCTTTAAAGACTTACACTTAAATATGGGCAAAATTTTAGGATATTCATAACTGAACTCGAACGGAACAAAACACATGCTTCATCTGGCGTCTTGCCGAACCAAACGGTGACAAATGACAGGTTATGTGTTCAAAAGAATAAAGGCTGATAGTTTCGAAAGAAACTGTTTAGGGCTGCGTCGGTGGGAGTAAGGAAATAATTTGGATATATCAACAAAGTTGAAATGGTAAATTGGCCACCGTAACGATTACAAAAGCTGACGTCTCGAGCGTTAGCCCTTCGTCGAAGCGAAACGTTGTGGATAGAAAAATGCTAAGACAAAAGTTAGTAGTCGCAGCAATCAAAATACAAATGAATAAAGGCTGATAGTTTCGAAAGAAACTCTTTGGGGCTGCGTCGGTGGGAGTAACGAAATAATTTGGATATATCAACGAAGTTGAAATGGTAAATTGGCCACCGTAACGATTACAAAAGCTGACGTTTCGAGCGTTAGCCCTTCGTTGTTCACTCGCTCCAACGAAGGGCTAACGCTCGAAACGTCAGCTTTTGTAATCGTTACGGTGGCCAATTTACCATTTCAACTTTGTTGATATATCCAAATTATGTGTTCAAAAGGTTGATAGATATTGAAGATATTTGCATAAATTGAAGTTTCTCATGAAATTGTTGACTTGTTCGTGTTTAATTGATATGTTCTCTGAACATTTATTCTGCGAAAACATTTATCTAGATATACAAATGCAAAAATTTCTCGATTTTGCTAGACTCACAAAAAGTTCCTCTAAACGCCAAAAGTTGGTTAAAAGTTGCCTTGCTCATCGGGACAGGCCTTGCAGGTATGAAATTAAAAGGTTGTGGTCGTTAATTGATATTTATTAAGAGTTCTCTGCGAAAAGAGATCTTGAACTCCTGTTGTGAATGCAGAATAATTAAAGTTAATGGTGTTTTCGATTTTCAAAGGGGCTTAAAGTAAACTTTTTATAAGCCTGTTAACAATCTATGGTGTCTTAGTATTATCGTCAATATAAACTGATCGCGAGCGATCTGGGTAGAAAGAATCATGCAACTTAAACAAAGGTGGCAAGATCTGGAGAATTCTAACCAAACAAATGATATTGCTCTAAAAGTTAACGACCCCCAGTGGAAGCATAAGAAGCTGACAAGTTTAGAGTCTACTGTTGAGCGGACTTATGTAAATTATTGAACATCCTGTTATAAATCAATATAGTATTGTACCACAAATTCTAGAAAAATTATGTGAATACGCAATTGCAAGACCGTTGTTTTCCTAGCCATTTCCGCCAACTTTAAAAGAATAAAAAAAGACGAAACAAAGTTCATGCATGAAACAGGTATTCATAATTATTTAAGGAGGTCTTAAACAGGTGTTCATCGCTTTCGATCGATTTTTGCGTACAACATAAATAAGAAGGGACGTTTTGTCCATTAAAGTTCACAGAAAAGTAGTAGTTGAAATTGTCAAGCTGAAAAATATGATCACCAAAGATAAAGTAAAAATTTGTAGTGAGAGAAACGTTGGAGTTGACCAAGCTATAGTCAAAAAGGTCATTTATCTACCGTACTACTTGTTCTATATTTCTAATCTGGATTGTTCTTTGTTTTTCAATGATAGATGAGGTACGTGTGTGAGGAATGCAATAACAAAACATTTTTGCGAGTGCGTCCCAAGAGTAGGAAAAATAAAGCCTCATAAACAAAATAACGTTTTGTTTCGTCGATAATTACTAGGATATCGAACACATAGTAGAAAAGCATAATATTTCATGTTCACGGGGTCTCGGGCTTCTGTCAAATTATCGTTCACCTACTGATATCATTTACAATTCACAATCATAAATTTATCAATGACAATTGAGGCTATTTTTTATTCATTACAGTTTACCAACAAACTGTGGCTCAAGCTGTCAGGTTAGCATCCTTTCATTAATGCAGGGGAGAGAATTCAGGAGGATGTTCGGAGTTTTTTTTTAGATTTAAACTATAGCTTTATAACATCAACCAAAGACTTCGAAATAGAAACTTACCGAGTGATGGTCAGCATTAAATAACACCACAAAAGGCTGAGTTTTTATATACTTTTAAAGGTAAGACACCTTACTTGTCATCAGATTTTGACATGAAGTCGAGGAGAGATAGTGGAAACCCGTTTTCATTATGAGCCATAAAAATACATAAATCTCCCGATAATCCTTGGGCAACAATCGCTCGAACAGTTAAAATATTAACAACAAACAAACACGTATAAAAATGGAGTCTCTTCATCTGCGACATCTTAAGTTTTTTTGTTTTACCGGAAATTGTTTGTTAGTTTAGAGTTGCTTGCATAGAACATTCCCAATTTTTCATACAATGCAACAGCAAGGCAAGAAGCTTGTGCCACAGGGCACTCTGATACATCTTGCGTTTTTAATAAACTCACGGTATTCTTGATGTCTGTGTAAACGTATACTGACACATGAACCGATTATTATTCTTACAGAAAAAATGCTGTGGCCAAGTTTTTGTCTTTTCATCCTCGTTTTCTTTATGGAACCCGTATCTCCTAATAAACAGTGCAGGGTGGAGATCAACATTCAAGGCATGAGACTAGAAAAGTTCGTCTTTAAAAAGATGTCAGCATCAGCTCCCCATATCTGTGATATCCGATGTGGACAAGAAATTACCTGCCAAAGCTACAATTACTATAGAAAGAAGGAGATCTGCGAACTAAACAACCGCACCAAAGAGGCGAGGACTGTAAACTTTCGCTCGGCCCCTGGTTGGTTTTATATCAGGCGTTTGAACGGAAGAGGTATGTATTTATCTGATGTAGTGCTAATATTTAGACTAATGTATATTAGTCTAAATGATGGGTCCAGGTTCACTTTTCCGATGCATTTTTTGAGATTATAAGAATCGTTTAACTAATCGGAAACGAAGTTCCACAGAACGGCGCCTCGAAAACGTATCCAGTAGTTTCATGAATTGTGTTGAAAATCTTGGAACGATAGCTTTCTTATGTCCTCTTAGGTTATATCGACTGTCTCTNAGAGCGCTGCACTAGTATCGCAGAGGTCAGTGGTTCGAGTCCCGTACAGGCCTGATTTTTTTCAGGTCTGATTTTCGCTATTGCTTAAATAGCGCTATCTACTGCGAGGATCGTGCATCATACGTACTTCATCCACAGTTGTTCCGATACAGTAAATTCAGTGGTGTCATCAGCTTACAGGTATAGTGTTCCCGATGTAACGCTGTCTAGCATGTCATTTGTATACAAACTAAATAAACACGGGCCCTTGTGGAATTCCGCAATTCGCTTACAGTTCGTCTGATCGACTACCTGTAACCCGAGTCCGGTGATGCAGGTAATCCGTAAGCCAAGATACAAGATTACAGCGAGTATTTTTGCCTATAACAGCCCTCAAGCGGGAATTTTTTGGAAGAAAATAGCAAGCGGGACCAATTTTTATCCTTAAAACACTTATTTTCACGTTTTACTGAGAGAATATAAACTGTTTCTATTGTCTTGATTATACTTGAACGCCTATATATTATCATGGTGAGCAACTATGACAGCTGCTTCTTTCTCAAAGACACTTTTTTTATTAAAAACTCCCATATTTAAGTAAACTATTGAGTCAGATTTTTTCCAGTAAAGTAATCTAACTGCTTCTGCGTTGTTTGAGAAAAATGAAAGTGTGAGAAAAATGCGAGAAAACTAAAAGTTATTCCTAAAGACTATTTCCCGGTAATAGTTGCATATTCTAGAGTATTTTTTCATTGTTCTTGATATTGTCAAATTTATTATCATCATTTATTCGAAGAATGTGAAATAATATTTCAAAGGAAATAGCCCATTACATCTATGCTCATACTCTTAACTTTTTCACTTTTCCAAGAAGAAAAATTTTGAGAAATTAGCAAGGTGGTTGTCTACTGAATTTATTGTTTAATTCTTTATGTGTTGCAGCACCTTTGGGTTCCATTCTCGAATTACCAGCACTATCTTGCCAAGAAATAAAGGCAAGTGAGGGAAAAGATGCCATTAGCAATAAGTACTGGATGAATCCAACTGGTAATGGAAAGACACAATTAATGTATTGTAATATGAGCTTGGGAACTGGAGGTAAGCGTATTTCGTCTGCTCTTAGCCTATTTTCGTCAGATATTTTCTTTCATATGTTTTGACGAGTTCTATTTATTTCTAGTTTATTGTTACATTATTTTTACCATTTATCTTCCAGAAATCGATGAATGCAAGAATGATATCTTGCTCTGTGACGCCAATGCAATTTGTTCAAACACTTATGGCTCGTATAAATGCACGTGCAAGGAGGGATACAATGGAACTGGACATGAATGTATAGGTATCATTCACTTACTTCGGTTTGTGCAATTTTTTTCATTTGTTCTTCTATTCTCTGAAAGGAAAGATATAAATAATGAACATGGTGTGATGCTTAGATGTTTCTATATTTTCAAACATTCACCCTGATATCGATGAATGCAGAAATGGCAGCCATCTTTGTGACGCAAATGCCTATTGTACCAACATCCATGGCTCTTATAACTGTACATGCAAGAAAGGCTTTTTGGGAAATGGACAGATATGTTCAGGTATCTTTCGTCAGTAAACCGAAAAAAAAAAGTTAAAACAAATTTTCTGTAAAGTTGGCTAGAAGATATCTATCATCAAACTTTGAAATAGTCTTTCCATGACTTACTTATTGGCTTTTGTCCTGTAGATGTTGACGAATGTGTAAATGACAGGTTCATTTGTGGTGTGAATGCGACTTGTGTAAACACTAATGGCTCTTATGGTTGTACTTGCAAGGAGGAAGGATCAGTTGGAGATGGAAGTGTTTGTTCAGGTGCGTTACGTGTGCTCAGTAAAAGGCATTACATTTGGTTACTGTCCAAGTATTATACTCGAAGAGAAAGAAGAACAATCTTAATAAAGGAGAGCTTTCCCAGCGACCAGATGACTGCTCCCTACTTTCAGGGCAACATTAATACTGTGTTGATGTCCAAACCGGAACAAAAGCTTCCCATTGGTATTTGCCCCATGATATAATCTGATATTTCTAATAACGAGGTGCAAAAATGTGTTTGGCCAGATGCCCACCTTACTACCTTGATGTCTTTCCTCATCGTAACCAAATTTGTTAAGGAAGCAATTTGAACCTTTGGAATTTTGTAGTTGATATGGTACCATCAGCTTTACTGTCCAAAAACAGGTAAGTCGTTCTTCATGTCAGAGACTTCTATTCAGACAAATTCGACTCAATGGTAGGCTTTTGTTTCTAAAAATCGTGCGCAGTCTGGATGACGGTGAAGTGCTAGAGGGAGTAACATATACATGAAAAGTTGCCAGTCTCTTAGGCCAAGATATTCAAATTGTCTTAACTAACAATTGCATCAATTGGAAACAAAGAAAGAACACCAAGGTTTCCGAACATAACATTTTCAGCTCAACAAATGCATCCATTGGAATGGACTTAGAGTGGGATGTAAATTGTTTGCTTTCCTCTTTGACGGGTAACTCGCCGCTGGTTCTCACGCCCTCATTCAGTGCACGTTAAAAAGTCAAACGGTAAAATCACAGAGATGCCTGATGAGCTTGTTTTATTATTTGCAAACCAAATAGGTGAAGAATGTCGATCCATTATCTTCAAAGAACCCATACAGGACAGAGTCATGAAATATCATTCAATCAGGCTTGTAGAGGTGCCCCATCAAGGCAGTTGTAATGTGCTGTGTTATATGGAGCCCAATTGTGTGTCCATAAATGTTGGGCTTTCACAAAGAGGGAACTACATTTGTGAATTGAACAACGCTTCGGACGAAAGTCCAAGCTCGTCCGACCTTCAGAGTAAACAAGTTTACACCCATCTCAGTATCGAGGTAAAGTGACTTTTTTTAGACGATGAACAATTATTGTGGGCGATCAGTTTGAGAGATTACCTCTTAAACTACTCTTGAAATTCTTGTGCATCTATTGAATTGAAATGAAATGATTCCTTAGTACTGCATTGTGTATCCTTAGGAACGTTTTTTCCTGATTTCGATGGTGTGAAATTGAGAGATCTTTCCATACATAGTATTAATATTACATTGTTATAAACATTAGAGACTGTATACTTATCTATAAAATGTTATTTGTTTAAGTGTTCATTTATAAAACTATCGAGAAATACTTTGTAAAGCTATGAAATAACCCACGTGATTAGTACTAGTTTCGGTATAAATAGGTCAAGATTGGCCTATCTATCTCTTTGGTGAGCTTTCCTTCGTATGGTAGTTCTAGAAACAGAGATTGGAGGAGACCTTTCAAAGAAAATCTCAATCAAAAAAATCCTTCGACAACTTTTATTTATTTATGAGTTGTCACCTGAGGGGAGAATACCAAAGCTAAGATACACCAGTGGTGTCACAGTATAGTTTATAGTTTAGTTTATTAGCTTCGCCGATAGGCAGGGACACCGCAACAGCTTGCCCCAATTACTGCGGGCCCAGTAAACCCACCCATCNCTCGTGATATCCATAAAGTTCGCTTCGGTTTAAAATGAGATATTTAGAGGGATAATATATCTAAAAAGTAAAATCTAAACATTATTGACCCTTGGTCACCATCTGCGTAAGTGATGATAACCCTTCTAACAAATAAATGTCGAAAATGTTTGGTTTTACTTTTGAAATATTTTTTGACCTAGAAATGGCTTATGTTGAGCTTACTTAGGGAAGAGTCTGCGAGATAACCAATTTCGCGTCTGACACTCTGCATAACCTTTTTATTCTTTAGCTCACCCTCATTCGAAGATATAGTTTTCCCCAAGTTCAAAGCATTGCAAGTGCATTAATCAGCAATCATCAAAACAAAGGTTTAAAAACTGTTTATGTTTGTCGTTACGTTTAGGTCGTCAGAACTGAGACAGGAAACTGTCGGGAGAATATGTACCGTAAGAGCTGGAACGTAGAGGAGTATATTGGTCAATACGCGCAAGTCAGACTTGTAGATGAGAGTTCTGGTAGATGGGCTCACATCAATTTTGATGACCTTAAAGGAGATATCATTTGTCCTCACGATTTAGACGAGAAAAAATGAGGAGAAAGTGGCATTAAAAAACTAAGTTATCAACTCAAGTCACCTTGAAAGTAGGGTGCAGCAGCCTTTGACGTAGCATAGTACTTGCTTTGTGCTGGCATAGATAGGCACAATCACTGTGTTTTTGGTCAACAGTACAAAAAATTATGAAACAGTTTTATGTACGTGACTGAGAAGGCTATAATTATACAATACAATCGTTATGTCTCACTGGTCTGCCTCCTGCCAGTGGGGATTTTTAAGCTCATAGCACTGAAAAAGGATAGGTGCTATATAAACATTTTAATTTATTATTGTTATTATTATTATTATCATTATAATTATTATTATTAATATTATTATTATTATTACTATCATTATTATTATTATAAGCTCTTAGTTAGTATACATTGTGGTTGAAAAGCATCTAAGGGGGAGCTTCAATTAACGTATATTATGACGCAGTTTATTGAACTTCAGCATGCCAGGGAAAGAAAGTTTCATAGGGCGCACGGCGTAACCTGTGAAACTACACATCGTTGCACTTATAAAAAATATAAAAACCTATTTGGTAGCATGGAAAATCAATTAAGATACACCTAATACTAGTATGACATCGCTAATTTACAATCTATCATCAATATACACAACAACAAATAAGGCACGTTCTGTGAATAAGATTGCTGTAAAACTTATTAACTTAATTCTCTAAATAAATCGATTAACCTTCTAATATACAGAACTCAATATTTAAAGCTCCTTCAACATTTAAAAATATCCTTCAGTTTAATATTCATGCGTGGGAATAAACTTCATGTTTATATGATGTTCTTATAATGTTCAACCATTCAAAATTGTTTTGGTAGTTTTACTATTCATGTTATCATCTTAAAAAGTCCTTGCAATGTTTAACGTACTTGACACTAAAGACTTAAAACTAAAATTCGATAAAATACTTGCTTCGAGACACTAGCTTGCCTTTTTTATCCAGCGACAAATGCAGGTGAACGTTAATTAACTTTTAAACTGCGTTTAGTGCTCAAGCTCGGCCTGCTCTCAGTACAAACACTTACTCTAGCGGGCACCAAGGTATAACGTCCGACCTACTTGCCGCCATATTATTATTACTATTATAATTATTATTATTATTATAATTATGCAGTTTAAAACTTTTGTATGCTCTATATAGTAAGAATAGTATGACGGGGCGCATGAGCGTAGGCCATTAACTATATAATTATTATTATTACTATCATTATTAGTTTAGTTTAGTTTAGTTTAGTTTAATTTGTTCGCCACAGGAATGGCAGGAGAAAGGAACAGAAATTTCGTTCCAAGTGACACCTAACCCATTTTTTTTACCCACCCATCCCACCCTGCGGAGGACATCTATCACATAGCAATCTCGTGTGTGGGAAATTACCCAACCCTGCAGGAGACGGGACCTCCATTTATCGTCCCTATCCGAGAAGACTAGAAAGTCTAACCACTTGCAGATATTATTACAAAGGCAGCAGTTTCTTCTCAGTTAATTAAAGACCCCGAGTGTTGGTCCGGCCGGATTGAACTTACGGCCTCCCGCACATTATTATTACTATTATTATTATTATTATTATTATTATTATTACTATTATCGGTTTGCTGCTATGATGAGGATAGTCAATTGCCTTAGATGCTACAACCCCGGAAAAAACTGTTGAGACATTTCAATGCAATTTTTAATTTCCCGCCATGCAACAATCGCTTCCAAGAGGAACAAACTTGCCCCCCTCCCCACCCCTGGTACAATGTTGTTGGGGCTTAACAACTCGAGCATGTATTTCTTGTGTTACTGCAAACAACATTGCAATAGGGGAGGGGGGAAATAATCTTTGAATTTGCGACGGTAAGCATTTTTGTCAGGGTGAGTGCAAAAAAATAGGTACTTTTGTAATGTGTCTCAATAGGTTTTGTCCGAGGTTGTAGCAATCGCGTCCTGTTTACTTTTCTTAATATTTGCTTTGCAAAAGCCACATCTGTAAAATTTCTTAGTAGATTCTGTTCAGGATTAGAGGTTGAAGTCATTTTTGAGTAACTGCATCCAAACCAGGTTTCAAAATAGTGGAATATGGATGTTTTATTTGACTCTTGCAATGCTTAATCTTCGGTTATTATACAGAAGCACTTAAAAATTTATTATGTTCATCTTATAACTACCCACTTGAAAATAAGTGCTGGTCGTGCTGCTTTGCCTGAGCTCTGTTTGCTGGACCACGCGTCAATAAGCAAGCCAAAGTTGAACGTAAAGGACTATGGGTAAAAACCCAAAGCCAGTTTAATAAGTAAAATAAGTTCAATCCAGTAACAACATTAAAAATTGAACTTGCTTGAATTTGGCCAAGGAAGGTGAGGGCCAAACAAACGCCAACTGCATCTGGAAAAGGAGTTGCAGCTTCCCCTCCAGGCAGAATGAAACCATCCTTATAAGTTCTGAGACATAAGCATATAACTCACTTCTGCCCTTACAAGAAAGTGAAGTTAAAATATACAATATAAAGTTGTAAAATGTAATATACAATATAAAGCTGTAAAATGTAATGAACACATGACTCACAAAATTGTCAACTGAAATAAACAAATAACTCGTTTCTGCCCCTGCTAGAAGATGAAGTGAAAATATATAAAAAGTTGTTAAATGTAAGTAACACATAACTCACTTCTTCCCTTGCTAGAAAGTGAAGTTAAAATATACAATATAAAGTTGTCAAAGGTAAGTAACGCATAACCCACTTCTACCCTGACTAGAAAGTGAAGTTAACATATGTATGTATAAACATGGACGTCTTCCTTCATTAGGAAGTCCTATTATGGAGCTACAGGTAGGAAACATAATGACTAACTTCTGCCTTTGCTAAAGAGTGATCTAAAATTATCTCAAAACTACAAACATAGCACACTTTTGGGGGGGATACTATGATGTCGAATGCTAATGCAAAGTACAACTGCTGCCCTTGCTAGACAGTTGCACAGTGAGAAGGTCGTCATATTAGTACTAGGTAGGCTAATGTTTCAAGGCTGACAAAATATTCACTCGTATGTATTTGTGGAAAGCATTTAATTTCCAGCGGCCAAACATTCTTATCTGTGCATCGGTAAAACCTAAGGCGGCTGCGTGGAAAGCAGCACCGATACGGAAACTATGCCCTTTATAGCATGCTGGATCTAACCCACATTCTTTTATAGCCAATGACAAATAGTACGAAAAGGTGCTTCTAGGCACAGGTGCACCACTCTGGAGCTTGAAGAGTGGTCCATGGGCATAGTTACAGTCATTGAGGTATTCGAGAAGGCACGTTACAGGACAATAGCCTTCAGTTTGGCGATGTATAATGACTGAGAAGGGGTGCTCCTTGTAGTGGTGATTGTAGTCGCCAAAAGAAATCTTACATATGATGCACGATCCTCGCAGTAGATAGCGCTATTTAAGCAATAGTGAAAATCAGACCTGAAAAAAATCAGGCCTGTACGGGATTCGAACCACTGACCTCTGCGATACTAGTGCAGCGCTCTACCAATTGAGCTAACAAGCCAACTGGGAGCAGGCCGTTAAGTTGATTCGTAATAAACCCGTGAAAGTGATAAATGAGATACAATGAAATATATGAAGTTCATATATTTTGTACTGCGGTATTAGATACATATGATGCACGATCCTCGCAGTAGATAGCGCTATTTAAGCAATAGCGAAAATCAGACCTGAAAAAAATCAGGCCTGTACGGGATTCGAACCACTGACCTCTGCGATACTAGTGCAGCGCTCTACCAATTGAGCTAACAAGCCAACTGGGAGCAGGCCGTTAAGTTGATTCGTAATAAACCCGTGAAAGTGATAAATGAGATACAATGAAATATATGAAGTTCATATATTTTGTACTGCGGTATTAGATACATATGATGCACGATCCTCGCAGTAGATAGCGCTATTTAAGCAATAGCGAAAATCAGACCTGAAAAAAATCAGGCCTGTACGGGATTCGAACCACTGACCTCTGCGATACTAGTGCAGCGCTCTACCAATTGAGCTAACAAGCCAACTGGGAGCAGGCCGTTAAGTTGATTCGTAATAAACCCGTGAAAGTGATAAATGAGATACAATGAAATATATGAAGTTCATATATTTTGTACTGCGGTATTAGATACATATGATGCACGATCCTCGCAGTAGATAGCGCTATTTAAGCAATAGCGAAAATCAGACCTGAAAAAAATCAGGCCTGTACGGGATTCGAACCACTGACCTCTGCGATACTAGTGCAGCGCTCTACCAATTGAGCTAACAAGCCAACTGGGAGCAGGCCGTTAAGTTGATTCGTAATAAACCCGTGAAAGTGATAAATGAGATACAATGAAATATATGAAGTTCATATATTTTGTACTGCGGTATTAGATACATATGATGCACGATCCTCGCAGTAGATGGCGCTATTTAAGCAATAGCGAAAATCAGACCTGAAAAAAATCAGGCCTGTACGGGATTCGAACCACTGACCTCTGCGATACTAGTGCAGCGCTCTACCAATTGAGCTAACAAGCCAACTGGGAGCAGGCCGTTAAGTTGATTCGTAATAAACCCGTGAAAGTGATAAATGAGATACAATGAAATATATGAAGTTCATATATTTTGTACTGCGGTATTAGATACATATGATGCACGATCCTCGCAGTAGATAGCGCTATTGAAGCTATCTACTGCGAGGATCGTGCATCATATGTATCTAATACCGCAGTACAAAATATATGAACTTCATGTATTTAATTGTATCTCAAAAGAAATCTTAATTGGCTAAACTACATGGGATCTATTGCAAAGTCCGGTGACTTGTTGGAATTGCAAGGGGGGATTAGAAACTTTTTTTACCATTGACTGCCATCTGGCCTACCCTCAAAAAGGCTTAGAAGGCAACCACACGCATTGCTCGAAACAGATATGCATCGTAATGGGAAGAAGTGACTCTATGTGCTATTGATAAGAGGCGTTCAAG